TGCTATTTTGTTCTGGGGAATAGCGCTGAGGTTAGATGTTAATCCCTCTGAAGATTGAGAATGTTCTCGTGAAAAGATACTTGATCGCCCCCCCTCTTTTTTCCCCCCCTTTTCCCACTGCATTATCTCTTTTATATACTCCCGTACGGTGATTTAAAAACTATTGTGGCCTTTGCTTTTGGAAAGACATCCAGACTTAAGTATTTGTTAATCCTGTATTAGCTTAAGGATGTTGCTGATTTCTTGTCTCTCACCTAATGGATAAAAGATTAGTCAATTTTATCGGGGACACCCAAGGAAATTATGTACTGCAGAAGTCAATTTATCTCTCACTTAATCGATAAAAGATTAGACATGTATGATTGTCACTGATTATGACTCTCCTTTTGACTCTTTTCCTTCTGTGATTAGGTGACATCTGTTCGGGAAGCTTATCTCTGAAAATGGATGCGTTTCACTTTGACGAAATTATTAAGGTTCGAAAGGTGGATGCTGATGGCAAAAAGTATGACAAAGGTATTACTCTTCCATTTACTCCATATCATATTGATACTGCATGCAATGCTTTTAAGAAACAGTATCACCATGACAATTGTTGGTCTCCAGGTGCTCTCTCTGTACTATCTTCCTTTATTCTTCTCCTAGCCCGCATTTTTGTTTCTTGGAAAGGGACTGTGGGGATTGGAGAACGTAAATAGGAAAGGATTGATAAATTGATATCTCCTATTGATGCATTCCAAGCTGGGCTTGGTAAGGCGAATTCTTTGAGATCCCTTGTGTTTTTTTTTTCTGGAGTAGAAATGCGCCAGTAGTAGTATATTGTACAGTCAATATTTCTGAAGCATGTTAGGAAATGTTCGGCAATGGAATTATCACATCCTAGGACCTAATGTATTTATTTTGCACCTGTGTGGCTATATGTGAATAAATACTCATCTAGATGCCATATAGTTCCATTCACACTCTATAGACACTCTTAAAGAACATTCATGACCGATGGATGGAATGGAGTCTTAGATCTCTAGGTATCATGAAATATTCTTTCCCTCGAGGAAGTGCTTTATGTTAAGGGATATGCTGAAAGGAATAGTAGAATGAGAATGCCAAGTATATTTTGATTAACGAGAGCCCAGTTACTAAAACTTGTCAGCCCGTTAGGACCTTCCTTTTTGATGATTAAATGTTCTTTCCTTGAATCGGAGGTCTATCGGAAACAATCTCTCTCCTTCCAACGTAGGGGTAAGGTATGCGTACACTCTACCCTCTCCAGACCCAGTTTGTGGGATTATACTGTGTTTTTTTTTTTATGTTGTTGTTATTGGCAAAAAACAATTTCGTATACAAGAGCCAAGAGGTGTATCAGAATGAAATACACAGTATTTTTAGGAATTATTGATTGCATAAACACTAGATATTTAAGCCAGTTGCAGTAAAAATCATCCCAACTTGGACATGTTAAGAAAAAACTCACAAACTGAGCTTAAGCTGTAGCTGACAAAATTCCATCACATCAGTCAGGAATTGTTGACCGCATAAATGCTAGATTTTATAAGTCAGTTGCAGTAAACAACTTCCCCAAATCTTCTCCACTTGGACCTGTTAAAAAAATCTTACCAACTGAGCTTAAGCTCTAGCTGACAAAATTCCGTCAGATTACAGTCATGCATTTCTTTTGCCTGTCACTTTGTTCATAATCAGATATTCAATTTGAGATATTGAAATATTGTTAGTTGGATTTCATGGTTTACTTGTCTGATTGTTCTTTGTTTACTAGATGACTGTTTTAGCATTCAACTTATCTTATGCTGGTATAGTGTTCAAGTTTTACCTTTTCGTATGAGAATAAGGAGCATCTCAGCTAGTACTATCCAATGCTCTTGTGCATGTGCTACTAACAAAGTCTCCTGCATGCATCCCAGAACTAAATGGCATATCAATTGTGTGTTTCTTTTGAAAAAGAGGTTGAAAAGTAGTTAACTCAGTGAGATTTGTATGCATAAAGTTTGTCATGCATAAACTAAGTATGTGGATGTTGACCCTTCTATAGAGATAAAATTGATAATTAATTGGTGCTATAAAAAAGATAATTATAATGTCAGAATGTCTTTCAGATTTATGTAAAGTTCTTTCTCAAAATCAACTTCCGCTGTTAATTATTTTTATATTTGAATTTGCTTGGTTGACTTGTTTCTATATCCTACGCCGAGTTCTCTTAACGTAGATGAGAACTACCTGAGTATTTTTGCTGGGTACAGTATGTTTGTTCTGATTTTGTTTTGGGAGTGCCATTAGATGTTAGGGGAGGCAAAATAATTATCATAAACTTTACTATGTTCTGCTGTTGCATTTCCGTTTCTGTATCATTGATCTTTAGACTGAAGTTTCTGTCAATTTCTTTAGTTTCTCGCATAGAAGCAAGATGTCATGATGGCGAAACATCGATACAGCTAGATATCAACTCAGAGCTATACCCTATTCAGCCAAGAGAGTTGTATAGGATGGTTATATCAAAGACGCTGAATATGGATGGGTCAGCTGTAACTAGCCATCCTCCTGAGGTATTTGTTCCTTTTACTTATTTGAATCTTCCTCTTTAATGGTCTTGGAAGATCCATTTGATGATTAACAGAAATATGGTAATCTTCTCTCCCTGATATGTTAGATATAATCATTTATATGATTTTAGTAGGTTGCTTGGTAAGTCCATAAATCTTGTTTGGGGAGGAAGCTGTGATTTTGATCTAGTAGTTGGTTATTCAGGATACCCCATATCATTGACTTTAAATTCTTGGGTAGGTTTGCCTTTTATTTTCCTTTTGTTTGATGATCTCCAAATCAAAGTAAAGATATTTATGGGGAAAAAAGCCAACCATTTGGTTTTTATTTTCCTGAATCTAAAGAATTTCATTATTAACCAACTAAGAAATGTTGGAAGCCTCTTTTTATTAACGTTTTTGCTACGCCAAGGCTTTTTGGCAACAGTAATGTGTAGGTTCAGAGGTGTGGCCACCAAATTTAGATTGTTCTATACTGGCTAGTGGCTATGCGTTTTAAATTTCTTCAATTGCAGGGAGAGCAAAAATCTCTTGCTGACAAATTTGAATACATCGTGCATGGGCTAGTTTATAAGGTCTCAATGGACACATCAGGACCTGACAAAAAAGTGTATGTACTTGCTCGTCCCATTTATTCAATGTATTGGTTTAACTTCTAGATCTATCTGTAAGCTAGGAGAACAATATTCAGTGCATGCAGCTTTGCAGCAGTCCACCATCTAATTCAGTGCATGCAGCTTTGCAGCAGTCCACCATCTAATTCAGTGCATGCAGCTTTGCAGCAGTTCACTATCTGAATTCACTTTGGATTACATAGCACCCACTAATTCCACTATAATAGTTATTTACCCAACAAATCCAATCTCGTCAAATCCAATCTCGGTTGGTCAACATTGACAAGACGTTTCACCATTACATCATGCAGCGATGGTGCCAGATATGTTGTTTGGATAGGAAAAATGATTAGTTAAGAATGGAAAAGGGGGATGCTCACAACAAGAATTTCTTCCTCTTTATTTCGTTCTTGTATTTCTTCTCTAGTTCTTGCTGAACAGACAACTCCAGGCCTCTGGACCTGTGGACAATTAACACAACTGAAAGCTCTCTTCAGTACTGTTGTAGTTTGTAGAATGATTTAAAACATCTCATGGCCCATCATAGGAATAAATTTGTGGCTGTGATGTTGTTTTTTTAGATTTTCAAAAGTCAATAAGCCTAGAGATGCAAACTCTTAGACAGCCTATTAATTTGTTCATTCTCCTTTTCCCTCTTGTCAGAGTGGTTTATGTCTCATTCGGAGGACTTCAGCTGATGTTGAAAAGTGATCCCCTCAAGGTGCAAAAGTTCAAGCTCGACGAGAAGCTCTTTCTTCTTTTGAGGAAGATGACGAAGTGAACTCCATTTGTTGTTGCTCTTGAATCCTGGAATTCTGGGTTGCTGCATTTTCATGACATTTTCTTTTCTTTTCCTTTTCTTATTTATGGAGAGATGGAGCAGAGACTTTGTTTGCAAGATTTTTGCCTATCAACGTGAAACCTTTGCTGTTGAACTTGTTGGCGAAATTATGTACAGTTCTGAACTTAATTAAGATGTATGACTTTTCTCTTGGCAAAGTGTTTGTTCTTAGAAGTGCTTGCTAGAAAACAGGTCTCTGTGAACGCACTTATGTTACTCATTTTGGCTTTGTTACAATGAACAAGTTGGTTGTACAACATGTTCAATTCCCAGCAGAGGTAAAAACATTAGGTGATTTCTTTTCATCTGTCAAAACCTTGGTCCGAGTTACCCGTTACCTGTGCTGGTGGAGGTAGCAGGTACCTCGTTGAATTAGTTAAGGTACGCCCAAGCTGGCTTGGACACCACAATTTTTAAAAAGTTGGTTGTACTATCAGTATGTATCACATGTGAGGATAACTGTTGGTTGTTCTATCATTTTGGAATTGTTGCGACGAACAAGTGCTTGCACTTGTGCTATAGAATATGGGTTTAGGCCTTCTGCATAACTGTTCTTTTTCTTGTACCATAACCAAAGACTATGCAAGTGTGCGTCGAGTTGGACGCCTAGAACTGCAAATTGGTGAAAGCTCTTTAGCTTTCCTGCTGGGAGGAAAATTTATCTTTACGTTCTACAGTGTGTCTTGATGCTAAACTCTTGTGTTTTGTCATGGAAAAATGTATAAACATAGACATCATGCTGTAGCCTGTAAACAAGTTCAGAACATTAAAACCTGGATTTTCTGAAGATGCTACGAAAGAATAGTCCTACCTACCTCTTTTGTTATTTGGAGGAGTTGATGAAAATAATCAACATGCTTATGCTACTCTTAATTTCCAAAGAGAATGCAAATTTAATCTTTAATTATTCAGTAAGTCCTTATCACTCCGGCATAAAAATGTAAAGATGAAACCATGAACTTCTATCTTGGATAAAAAAGAAGATATCTTCTATCTTGGATGCACTTTTTTCTTCTTCACATGGCAATTTGTCTCATGCAAGCTTGTCATACAACCAAACTTCCTCTTCATTTCTTTCCACATGCTTGTTTTCTCCTTCTGAATCTTGTGCTGGTAGCTACCTCTCTGAATTGCCCTTCTCATCATATGACATTCTTTCTCCAGTTCCAGCACCTTGCTTCCCATCTTTTCCATCTCTGCTTTCACTTCCTCTTCACTGCTGCTTGTCCTCGTTGCATCTTCCTCGTCTTCTTCCAGCTTCAACAATAGGTTTCCAGAACCCCTCTGTATCCTCTTTGCCACAGTATCCTTCAACTTCAACTGCACAGAAAACAAAATCTGCACCATCACTCGTACTGGTAGCTTTTCGTTGTGTGCAGCATGCTCACAGGCTTCAGGAGACAGGTTGTTGCAATCCAACATCCTGCAAACTTCATCCCTTTCCCTATCCGTGAGATATCTGTGCTTGTCCAAGTATATATCAATTGCTTTATATATTCCATCAGAATTCCTATGAGTTCCTTCTGATGCTGCTAGTGATAAATCTGTTAGTGATAAAAATGTCTTCAACTTCAAATCTATGTCACTAGCAACCTCAGCCAAGAAGTCATCAATAAGTTGTGCCACGGCAATCAGGCCAGATTCATCTGTGCTTGTGTAATTGCTGTAGAAATACTTCATTATCCTTTTCACACATTCAGTATCATACTGCTCTTCTTTTGCATATCCTTGTGCAGGTATTAAGAGGTCCTTTACAGTTGCCTGGTCCAGCTGCTTTCCTATTCTAGTTTCCAATCCGCTTTTACAATCAGTATTAGCATCCAACATTATTGCAGATTGCAACATTTGAGAGAGCAAAGAGCAAGGGATCAGCCCCCTCTCTTGCGGCAACAGTCTCTCCACTGCTTCAATGATCTCTCTCTGAGAATTCCTCTCATAAACTGATGTCTCATCTTCTCCTTTAGTGCCTGGAAAAACCCATTTTGTGAGATAGTGAAACAGAGATGATGCCACATATTCCAGAGGGACATTTTGATGAATCATTGCACGAATAATGGGCTCGTAGAGAGCAATGGAAAGTACTGTCAAGTCCTCAGATTTCCAGTCAAGAACAAAGAGCCTCCTCCTAACATTTGGCTTATAGGTACTTTCGTCGTTCTCACTGTCATCATCTGTTGTTGTTACGTTCCTAATTGGTTCTCCAAGAAGACTTGGATCATGCACTACTTTGGTGATGATCAATTCTGCACAGGCATCAACAAGGGCAAGATCTGCAGCTTGTGGAAGAATGGTTTCAGCAGATTTGAGGGCTTTAATACACTTGTTCCAGCTAGGAAGGATATTATTTTGAAAGTAGAAACAAGCCTTCTTTATGAGGTTGTTTGTGCTGTGATCTTCAGACATTCCAAGATAGTTAGCAAGGCAAAGGACTTTAATAACATTCTCAGGCAATAGGCTTATGTCAAAACCATGGCAGAACCTTGCGACTAGCTCAAAAGTTTCGGAATCAGTGGGAATGTCTCCTAGCAAATGAGAAACATCATCTTCAGGATTCTCTTTCAGCACTGCAGCTAGCTTTGCAGATTTTGCAGTCAAAACTTCCTGTAAGTTCAACACAAACCAACATCTTAGCAAAACTGAAATAATTCTGATGTGTGTGTTAACCTTGACTTGTCAGTTTAACTTACCCTATTCAAGGAGAATGGTACTCCACATATGTGGAGCTGAACATCTGATGATGAAGCAGACACTGATTTCCTGAAAGGAAAGGGTAAGAAGAAAAAAGAACAAGATTAAAAGTTTTAATTGAAATTGAAAAAAGTATAAGAAAACTAACTTCTACCTGGGTGGAGATGCAATGTTTTTCCTTGTGGCCATCTTATCATGATTTTGTTGTTTCCAATCCATCAAAGAGATCAAATTTTAGGGCCTTTCAAGCTAAGATGTTGGGATCAAGATCTCTCCAAATTAATCAACCTGCAAAATATATAGCAATAAGCCCTCCTTCATATATATAGGAGCCTTTTATGTCTTTACAGTAACGTTAACAGCGGCGGAGCCAAGATTTTTCAGTAAGTTGCATCAAAATATAAAAAATTAAATACACCGAAAAGTCAAGGAGAGTCAGCATATAGTAAATCTATATAAAACAATTTTTTTTTATCTAGCAATACAATATAATTTTCTTACGAAGTGTTGTCGGTTGACACCCCTTGGTTGAATGTGGCTTTGCCACTGAATGATAGCGGGTCATTTGGTTCGCAGTCTAGTTATGCAAAGATTGTAATGCAGTTGCGGTGAATAATAATGCATAGATTGTCATGTGTTGACGACGATGTATATACTAATACAAGGCTGTTATGTAAAGAATGTTAACTGCAGATTAATTTAAAAATATTTTAGTTGTTAGATATTCTACTCCAGGTATGCTACTTAAGATAATACAAATGCTTTTTTGCAGCTAGAGCACATTGCCGGTCACAAGCCCGGATAAAGGAGGAAGGTTGCGGTAGGTGAGCAACGTGAAACTAGCCAATTCATGATGAATTATTTTGGCCTTTTTAAATGGAGAAACATTAACATTGAGGATTCATGATGCCGCTGCCCCAACTTGTTTGGGACTGAAGCGTAGTTATTGTAAAAATGCTTTTGTGCAGGGAGCGCACAGTGTACTCATGCTTCTTTTGGTGCACCTAGCTATGTTTTTATCTACTGTCTTATACTTGCAATTTACATATACTGTTTGGCTGTGAGAGCATATTCTTCTTCATAATGGAGTTTTACTACTTTACTATAAGGTAATATAAGGATCATGTTCTTAAAAAATTACCTAATTTCGGTTTTCATCCTACTAAATGACGAATAGTTTACTTTGGATATATTTTATTGATCTATAAACAATCTAGATGAGAATTTCCTAGAAAAGTTTGACTTTTTCTTCATTGTAAGCATTCCCAGAAAATGGATGCCAAGAAAATGTAACGAAAACAAAAAAATAGGAAAAACTAAACATGCAGAATCTAATAATATCACCTGAATATGTACATAAAATTAATGAATGCACGAAATATTATACTATTTAAGTATGTTTAACTTATTAGGTGCGTAAGCAGAGGCGGAGCCAAAATTTGAAATTTATGGGTTCGGGTTTATAATCCGTTTAAGTTACTGGGTTCTAAATTGATAATTCGTACATATTTAATAGATTTCTTAAGATAAATACAAAGGTTTAGATTAAAACGATTGGGTTTGCCCGAACCCGTATCCCGCATGACAGCTCCGCCCACGGAGATAAGGAGCAAAGCAAAGGAAGAGTAGAGAAATTTACCAGAAAATCTTGAATATTTTTCTGCTTATTCTTCTTGTAAACTGTAAAGGAGAAATCAGAACTGTGCATGCTAGGAGTAGAGAGCCACTGTGACTTCTTTTGTTAATGGAGTTACTAGTTACTATTCAATATTCAAACGTTCAAACGTAATAGTTGGGCATTCTGTTATTTTCAAATGCTGAAATTTAGAGTTTGATTAGGGATAAACTCTGCACAAACCCAACTAAAACCTCCCCCTATTATAGGAACGGCTCCTATATATACACATTGTTTCTACATCCTTCTCTTTCTTTTCTATTTTTATTATTTACAAAAGATTAATATTACTTTACTTCTTATTTTTTAAGGAGCATGTATACGGTAAAAATTGACTATGTCCGATTTTATGGGCTCGAGGGACTGCCTCGAGATTAAGCTTATGATGAAGCGAGCTCGAGCTCGACAATACAAAGGCCGAAGGATCGAGATCGGGCACGACCAACGTCGAGCAACGGAATAACGGGATATCGGCGAGCGACCATAAATCTCGGCGAGAATCTCGGAAGTGACGAAACCGCTAACGGTTATTGATATCAATCATGGATTTTATTTCCGAAATTAGAGTTGTACCTTATTTAGGATTCCTCTACTATATAAAGAGGAACCATGTTCATTTGTAAGGGGATACACTGACTGAGAAATAATACTACGCTACTCTTTACTCGCTTACATTTTTGCTATTGTTCTTATTGCTCATAACATTTGACATCGAGCTAGTCCTAATCGAGGTCGACATACTGCTATAATACTGGTCTGATTTATCTTTACAGTTCAATTCATTAATTCAATTCATCATTTATCAATTGACATTGAATCAGATCACGTATCCTTAAAACCACATTATAAATTTAATTGTTACTCGTATTTTCGAGGTAAACAGTTTGGCGCCCACCGTGGGGCTAAGAATAATACTGATTGTTTAGTGCTAATTTCGGTAAAACACACTATTTTACACTTGTTCTTGTCAAGAATTTTTATTTTCAGGTTAAATCATGTCAAACTCACAAAACACATCTACACATGGCGATAATGGCCTCGGACTTCACGGGGAAAACGAGAATGTTATTGCTCCAGGAATCAAGGTGCCACAGGCTGACCTCGGAGGAGCACCGCCCGTCAACCCGATTGATGTTAGTTCTCATGTGGCTCTGAACGTGAATTTGGGCGCAGACCCCGAAGGAAGTGTACGCAGAGAGGGTCGAACTGACGGTCGAGGTGTACAGGGCAGAGGAGACGAAGGAGTCGGTCTCTAAGTAATATTTGAAATGCTTCAAGCTCAACAAAACGCCATTGCTCAGTTGCAGAATCAGCACAGAGCACCGAGTAGGGTCAAACAAGAGGTCACTCGCCGTACCGAGCAAGTGCCTGAAAGATCGGGTGATAACACCTTGACCACTGATCCTGCTATAATGAGGATGCTCGAGGAGCTCACTAAGAGAATAGAATCTGGAGAGAAGAAAATCGAGGCCAATGACAAGAAGGTGGAAACCTACAACTTCCGAGTTGACCAGATACCGGGGGCACCACCAATCTTAAAAGGAATGGATTCAAAAAAGTTTGTACAAAAATCACCCTCCGAGTGCGGATCCGAAGCCCATTCCGAAGACGTTCCGTATGCCCGATATACCTAAATACAACGGGACTTCTGACCCAAATAAGCACGTTATTTCTTACACGTGCGCCATAAAAGGAAATGATTTGGAGGATGACGAAATCGAGTTTGTATTGCTGAAGAAGTTCGGGGAGACCCTGTCGAAGGGAGCTATGATTAGGTATCACAACTTGCCACCAAATTCTATCGATTCGTTCGCCATGTTGGCAGATTCATTTGTAAAGGCATACGCTCGGGCCATAAAGGTTGCAACAAGAAAATCTGATTTCTTCAAAGTGAAGCAGAGGGACAACGAGATGCTAAGGGAGTTCGTATCTCGATTCCAAATGGAACGCATGGAGTTACCACTAGTCACTGATGATTGGGTTGTTCAGGCTTTCACCCAACGATTAAATGAACGGAGTTCGATAGCATCACGCCATTTGAAATAGAATTTGATCGAGTACCCAGTTGTGACTTGGGCAGATGTTCACAACCGATATCAATCAAAGATTAGGGTTGAGGACGACCAATTGGGAGCCCCCTCGGGTTCAGTACATCTAAATCGATCGACAGGTAAAAATAAGAGAGATGTTGATAGAGAATCAAGGCCGAATAAAGATCGGTACCAGCCATATGTTACAGATCGGAGGAATAACGATCCGGGACGCAATTCTACCCGAAATGATCGAAGGAGTGACCGAACGCAAAATTCTCGGGGACTTATGAGTAAAACCGGCTTCGACAAATACGCAGATCCCACAGAAACACCTCGACTATCAGAGTACAATTTCAGCGTCAATGCATCGGGGATTGTATCGGCTATCGGAAGAATCAAAGATACTAGGTGGCCCAGACCAATACAGACCGATCCTTCTCAAAGGAACCCAAATTTAATGTGTAAGTATCATGGCACACATGGCTATAGGACCGAAGACTGCAGGCAGCTGAGGGAGGAGGTAGCTCGATTATTCAACGAAGGCCATCTTCGAGAGTTCCTCAATGATCGAGCCAAAAATCACTTCAGAGAAAGAGACGCCAACAGAGAGAACGAGCAAGAAGAACCTCAGCATGTTATTCACATGATCGTAGGCGGGGTCGACATCTCACAAGGACCTATATTCAAACGCACTAAGGTGTCTATCACCAGAGAGAAACGGACTCGAGACTATGTGCCCGATGGCACTTTATCATTCAATGACGAAGAAGCAGAAGGCATTTCTCAGCCACACAACGAGGCCCTGGTAATTGCCATTTTATTAAATAAAGTTCAAGTTAAGTGTGTTTTAGTGGATCCAGGTAGCTCGACGAACATCATCAGATTGAGGGTCGTAGAGCAGCTCGGCCTGCAGGACTAAATTGTACCTCCATCTCGAGTCCTAAACGGCTTCAACATGGCTAGTGAAACAACGAAGGGGGAGATAATCCTACCAGTAAATGTGGCTGGAACTATCCAAGATACGAAATTCCATGTCATCGAAGGCGACATGAGATATAATGCACTATTCGGAAGGCCTTGGATCCACAATATGAGGGCAGTGCCATCGATCCTTCACCAAATGATAAAGTTCCCGATGACGGATGGTGTGAAAATAGTTTACGGGGAACAACACGCCGTAAAGGAAATGTTTGCGGTCGATGAGGTGACTTCTATATCAACACCTTCGACTTCAGAAAAATAGAGCGCCAAAGATAAGCAGACGGACAAATAGAAATCAACGTCCCCGGCCCCGACCGAATCGAATAAACAGGTAAAGGAAGGAGAAGAAGAAGAGGATTTTCTAACTCCTCGAACTTTTGTTGTTCCCAAAGAATCAGATGCAACCAAGTCAATAGTCGAGGAGCTGGAACATGTGATATTAATCGAGTATCTGCTTGAACGAAAGGTATACCTGGGAACGGGGGTTGACCCCCGAACTC